GGGGGGGGCAGTTTTGAGGGGGGCAGTAGGGGAACCCCTGACTAAAGTTCGAAGTTTCAATTCCTGTAGCAGAGGCCTTTTGGCAGCCAAAGCCAGAACCCTGAACCTTCGAATTCTGAACCCTTGACCCAAGAGCAGGCGAGCAAATTGGCCGGTGAACTAAAGAAACTCTAGCCCTAAACCCTAAACCCTAAACCCTAAACCCTAAAGCCTAAAGCCTAAAGCCTAAAGCCTAAAGCCTAAAGCCTAAAGCCTAAAGCCTAAAGCCTAAAGCCTAAAGCCTAAAGCCTAAAGCCTAAAGCCTAAAGCCTAAAGCCTAAACCCTCTACCCTGTACCTGGGCCTTCCGGAACGCAGGAGGCTCCCCCGGACAAGATCGGGAGAGGGATCGTCAAAGAATTGGGTGCACGGCACGGCCCACCGCGCCTGAGATATTCATGAGAAAAGGGCTTAGGGTTTAGGGTTTAGGGTTTAGGGTTTAGGGTTTAGGGTTTAGGGTTTAGGGTACCAGTGGTACCCTTTACCCTCTTTTTTGCTATGGTTCCCTTGTAAAGTAACCAACCAAAAAAGGGTGCCCTTATTAGGATATGGTTACTGGGCTACCAAGATACTCATGAGAAAAGGGCTTACGTTGACAGTAGTGCAATCCCATGTCATGTAGTTGTAACTCAACATATGAACGTTAGGCTTCAGAGATGTAGAGAGGCCCCCGCATTCAGGGTTTCCAGGTGCCGTGGCTGAGAGGGTTTCGAGGGTTTCGAGGGTTTAGAGGGTTCAGAGGGTTTAGAGGGTTTAGGGCGTTTCGGGGGTTTCGAGGGCTTAGGGGGGTTTTGGAGGGTTTAGAGGGTGTAGGAGAGTTTAGAGCGTGTCGAATGTCGGGTTTAGGAATATAGGTTTCTTGTGGTGTTGTGGTGGGGACCTTGTATGGCGAGGGCCTTAGGGGTCGTGTTGCCTCTATATCATGTTATGATATAAATGCTCATGAACCATTGGGCAAGGTCATACAATCATTGGGCAAGGTCGTCATTTAAGATTGGGCGCGGTAGTTAAAAACATTGGGCAAGCTCATAGCAGGAGCGTTTGGGGTTTAGGGTTCAAGGCTTCGGGTTCCAAGGGTAGGGTTTAAGGTTCAGGGCCTTAGGTTCAGGGTTTAGGGCTGTGGGTTTGGGTCGTGTGTGTGTGTGTGTGTGTGTACCCTAAACCCTCAACCCTGAACCCTGAACCCTAAACCCCATGTGCCGGGCGTGGTGTGCGCATAGCTTCTGTTCAATGACTTTTTCTGTCACGGCGCTCTTTGACCTCGGGCGAGTTCAAGGAGCCAAACCCCATAAGAAAAACATTCCTAAAGCCAAAACCTACAAACCCTAAACCCTAAACCCCAAACCCTCAGCGCTTAACTCCATGCACCCTAAGCTGGCAACCCTCTCTTCTGCAGCCCCATGCAATCGTCAAAAGCGCCGCTAATTCGACAAAATTCGTTTGTAAGCTTTGCACGCGGTGACAGGAAAACCGAGCCGATATTGCAGGCCGTCGCTAAGCCCTAAAGCCTTAAGCCCTAAAACCCTGTCACCCTAACCCTAAACCCTCAGCCCTGCAGCCCTGAAGCCCTTATGCCCTAAGCCCGAAGTCCTATCTCGGGGTCATGGCGAAGCCGAAGAGGGTAATAAGTGTATAAGGTCACCGGTACGAGAACCTCGTTTAGGGCAGCTCTAACCCCTAAGCCCTCAGCCCTAAACCCACCCTAAACCCTAAACCCTAAACCTTAAACCCTAAACCCTAAACCCTAAACCCTAAACCCTAAACCCTAAGCCCTAAGCCCTAAACCCTAAACCCTAAACCCTAAACCCTAAACCCTAAACCCTAAAGTCGAAACAACCCCCCAAGCTCATTTTGAAGTTCTCAAACTACAACATGCCCAGCGTCGACGGACCCCGGAGTTTAGAGTAGAGGGTTTAAGGGCGTACCGGCTCCCCCAAACTAATGTTTTAACAAAGGGGGGTTCTGTACGCTTGTAGTATGGTTACAAGTTTAGGGTTTAGGGTTTTAGAGCAAAAGGTTTCGGGCTCAAGGGACCATAAGGGATTACTTTTGGTAATATTCCGACCCCTATATTGGGGATTATAGGGTTTAGGGTTGAGGGTTTAGGGTGTAGGGTTCCCTCCACCCCACTCACCCCAACAAAAAGAAGACCCTGTACCTCAAGGGCCTCTGCTCGGAAGGCTCATGTTGTATGCATGGTTGGAAGCCCTAAGCCCTAAACCCTAACCCCTAAACCCGAACCCCTAACCCCTAAACCCTAAACCCTAAACCCCCAACCCCCTAAATGCCCAGCGCAGGGCCGCGGCCGTGCTCTCGGAGCTGGCGGCGGCGGGGGCGGAGGTCAAAGCTCTCCAGGCCCTAAACCCTAAACCCGAAACCCGAGACCCTAAAGCTGAGGATTCAGGCTTTTCTAGGGGGTTTTTTAGGGGTGTTTTTCGGGTGTTTTTGGGCTTTTTAAAGGGTGTTTTAGGTTTTCCTTTTTTTTTAAATCTGTTTCAGGTTTCCCCGAGACCCCCCTTAAATCCTCTAGGTGCTACTACGCCCTCCTAACTCCCCTCAGCTATTCTCCACCACCTCGGCCACAGCTCCGCGCCTCAGGTCACACCCCCCCTCCCCCCCACTCCCCCTCCACTCACGAGAACGACAAGGGCGTTAGGCGTTAGGGTTGCCATCTACCCTAAGCCCTAAACCCGATCCCTGAAGCCTTGGGCGGAGGACACCGGAGTCACGGACGAACTCCTGGACCTGGTGGTTGATACCTTTAGCAAGGCAGGCCGTGAAGGTTTGAGGTTTTAGGGCTTGGGCTCAGTGTAGGGCCTGCGGTTTAGGGTTTAGGGTTTAGGGTCGCCCCATGCCCCTAGGTTTGTTCCACCCAGCACCACTTCCCTGGGCTTGGAGGTGTGGCGCATCCTCTTCGCTTGCAGGGCTCGGGGCTTTGAGCTCACAGAACCCAAAGCCCTTCGAAGGCTTTAGGGTTTAGGCTGTATTGTTTAGGGTTTAGAGTTTAGGGATTAGGCTTGAGGGTTTAGGGTTTTGAAGAAATGCCGCTGCCTTATAAGGTTTAGGGTTTCTACCTCCCCTTGTAGGGCTTCGGGCCAGGACCCGGAGTAGGCCCTTGTACCCTTGTTTTCAGGTTCAGGTTCGCTTGCCTCGCACGTGTTGCAACTTGCGACGGCCCAAGTGCCGATTTAGGCACTCATGGCTTGCATCACAATCACAATCACAATCACAATCACAATCACAATCACAATCACAATCACAATCTAAACCAACAAGGGCACCCTGTTTCTTCCTGGATGACTCCTGAGTCATTGCGGGTCTTTTCGGGCTTTCATCGGATCGACTCTTGCTCGGCTCATGGCGTCTCAGCTTTCTTCGTCCACAGCATGACAGATTCGCCTACAATAATTTCGTACTTCTTCTACTATTTTGCTTAAGAACCCCAAAAGAGTAAAAATTAATGATTCCTATATTTCCCTTAATAAGGAATAATATGTTTGTTGTTTTTGGGGTTCTTAAGCAATTAGTAGTCATTCATGAGTCAAAACAAGTCCACGGCCAGAATCCTAGAGGAACGCCCGTTTAGCGTAGTTTTGGGTGGGTGTGTTACATCCCAAACCCTAAACCCTACTAAACCCTAAAGCTTGGGGTTTAGGGTTCCGCCTAACTTCGCTGGACTCGCTAAACCAAGGTAAGCCCAAGTAAACCTCACCAGACCCGCAACCCTGCTACCTCTCCAAACCAGACGACTACATGCTAAACCTTGTAAGACCCTCAAACACGTAAACCCGTTTTACCCTCAGCCCCAAGCCCTAAGCCTGAGGCCCTAAGCCCTAAGCCCTACGCCCTAATCAACCCCAACCCTCAACCCCCTTCAGCCCTAAACCCTAAACCGTAAACCCCAAACCCCACACCCTAAACCCTAAACCTTAAACCCTCAACCCTCAACCCTCAACCCTCAACCCTCAACCCTCCTCAACCCTCAACCCTCAACCCTCCTCAACCCTCAACCCTCAACCCTCAACCCTCAACCCTCAACCCTCAACCCTCAACCCTCAACCCTCAACCCTCAACCCTCAACCCTCCCGCAACCCTCAACCCTCAACCCTCAACCCTCAACCCTCAACCCTCAACCCTCAACCCTCAACCCTCAACCCCAAACCCCAAACCCCAAACCCCAAACCCCAAACCCTAAACCCTCAACCCTCAACCCTCAACCCTCAACCCTCAACCCTAAACCCTCAACCCTCAACCCTAAACCCTAAACCCTCAACCCTAAACCCTAAACCCTAAACGTTGCTTGCCGGCAGGCCTGCCTGCGAAAGGCCACTTTCGTGAAGGTGGGCACCTTGCATCCGGACGCCAAGGGCGTAAACGTGCTCTTGAAGGCCTGCCTGGCCAGCCTTGCAGGGTTTAGGGTTTATAGCGTTTAGGGTTTAGGGTTTAGGGTCTAGGGTTTAGCATTTAGGGGTTGAAGGGGTTGAGGGTTGAAAGGGTTTATACAGGGTTCAGGGATTTGAGATGTTTAGGCGCGAGGGGTGCACAAATGATGCAACACCAGATCATAAGTGAGGCAAGCTACGCTACAACTCCATGGGGATGAGTGTGGTGCGAATAACCCACTGTCACCCCCCAGATACAAAGCCCCTAAACCCTAAACCCTGAACCCTCAACCCTCAACCCTCAACCCTAAACCCTAAACCCTAAACCCTAAACCTTGAACCCTAAACCCTAAACCCTAAACCCGAAAACCCCAAACCCTAAACTGTTACTAAACCCTAAACCCTAAACCCTAAACCTTGTGAACCTCCAAGCGGGGGCGTCACGTTGCTCCAAGGCATCATACAATCATGCATCATGTTGCAGGCTGCTCACAATCAAACATACCCTACAGGGTTTAGGGTTTAGGGTTGAGGGTTGAGGGTTTAGGGTCTCTATTCCCACACAGTTCCGACCACGGGCATGTGCGCCATGGAGATTCTGGTCTGTGGAGCCACGGGAAGTACCGGTGGAGCCACCGTGGACGCCCTTGTCGCGACTCCCCAGTTTGCCGCCAAAGAGGTTCGCGTCTCGGCGCTGGTGAGGGACCTTGAGGGTGCAAAGGCCCAAGCTCTCAAGACCAAGGGCGTTGCTCTGGTGGAGGGAAGCTTTGACAACAAGGAGAGCCTCATGGCGGCTATGGCCAAAGCGGACCGATGCTTCTTGGTCTGCAACAACGTCTTGAACCAAGTCGACCTAGAGTGCAATGTCATCGAGGCGGCGGAGGCCAGTGATGCTTGCAAATATCTGGTCAAGATATCGACTTGTGGAGCCGTCGTGGAGGGTGCGCCTCCCTACATCTCGAAGGATTCTGTCATCCAATACGGACGCTACCATGCCGCGATTGACGAGCGCCTTGACGCCTGCACCAAGTTGATGTGGACCAGTCTCCGTCCCAACTACTTCATGCAAAACTTTATTGGTGATGTCTTTGGCACGCTTGCAAACAAGATGGTGGCATACCCTCATCAGAAGGACCAGAAGGCCACCTTGATTGACGTTCGCGACATTGGCGACATTGCCGCCAAGATGCTGTTGCTTTCGGATGAGAAGATTGGGAGCACTTATCATGGCAAGAAGTTGGATATTGGAGGGCTCAAGAGTTACAGCATCCCCGACATTGTGGACATCTATTCCAAAGCACTGAAGAACGTACCTATCAAGCTTGTACGCTGCAGCGAAGAGGAGTTCGCCAAGGGCTTGGTTGGGGGAGCAGGCTTTCCCGAATGGCTCGCCACCTCGGTGGCCAAGAGCCACACGGTCTTCTGGGAAGGGAATGCCACGGACTATCAGTCCCCTCCTGAAATCAAGGAATTGCATCCCAAGTTTCGTACCTTTGAGGAGTGGGTGGCGGAGCATGCTCATCTGGTGAAGCTTGTAGAGTAGGACATCTGTGTAGAAATTAGTAGAGGAGTAGGACGAGTCAGCGCACAGAGGACGGCGCAGCTTATCTCCACTTTTGCGCCCGGGCTCTGCGGAGCCGAGGGCGAGGGCAAAATTGCGCCTCCTCCCGAATGTGTAGGGTCTTCACACAGTCGCTTACTCGTGCCCTTTTGTGTAGGGTTCTAAAGTAGGGGCTGTTGGGTTCCACAGGGGAGGGTGTAGGGATTAGGGTTTGTACGTTTCGGGTTCGACGTTTTGGGGTTTAGGGTTTTCGGGATTTTCCCGCCGGTGAGGCATCCGCTGTTGGTCTTGCGATGTTCTTACCCTAAACCCGACACACTAGACCCTAGACCCTGGCGGGTGTGGGTTTTGCAGCTGATGTTTCCTGATGCGCCCCACGCCCTGCATCCTAAGGCCTGAGTGCCCTAAACTTTGCCCTAAACCCAGGGCCCAAATCTTCGTGGGCAAGGCCCAAATCGGGCAAGGCTCGCAGGTGCTTTAAGGCTTAAGGTTTAGAACCCTAAGGTATGGAGCCGAAGGTTTTTTGATTGAGTGAACCTTATATTTTCCTCATGTCATGGGATCCACAGGGTGGGTGGGTAGATATGCAAACCGAAGTCGCGAGTGAACTTGAGATGCTGAACCCTAAACACTAAACCCTAAACGGCCTAAATTTAAGAGCCTCCGGCTCAAGCCGCCGACCCCGCTGGAGCATAGTTGAAAGGTTTAAACGCGCTCGTCAGCTCAAACGATCCAAAAGTTGATTTGCTTGAGCCTCTGTGAAACGTTGGGGGGGGGGGGGAGTAGCACCAGGACCCAAACAGGAGCTGAAGCCAGCTTGAAACAGCCCCATCAATTGTTGAACAAGCCAAGCCAAGCAACCAGGAGGGGGGTAGGGGGGTGGGGTGGGTTTATTCCCAAAGGGCCCCTATGTCCTGTGCGAAACCGCCTATGGTCCGTGAGTTTATGCGGTGTGGGTGGCCTGGCCCTCCATGGAAAAGCTGCCCGGGTACCCCCCCTACCCCCCCCCCCGTTTTGGGGGGGTAAGGAGGGAAAGAGGGAGGTTTTCACCTCCTTTTCCCATCCAACACGCCGCCAGGGTCGGCGGACCCTATATAAACCCTGGACCCCAAACCCCAAACCCCAAACCCCAAATCCCCAAACCCCAAATCCCAAACCCCAAACCCTAAACCCTAAACCCTAAACCCTAAACCCTATACCCTAAACCCTAAACCCTAAACACTAAACCCTAAACCCTAAACCCTAAACCCTAAACCCTAAACCCAGTTTTTTGAGGTGTTAGAGGAGCCCAAAGAGGTTCCGACGGCCGCGGGCAAGGTGTTCGAGGCCTCGGCCGCCTTTGGGGTTTAGGGTTTGGGGTTTAGGGTTTAGGGTTTAGGGTTTAGGGTTTAGGGTTTAGGGTTTAGGGTTTAGGGTTTAGGGTTAGTGGGGAGTATTAGGGAACCGTGGGTAACATAGGCCCTCTTCAACCCCCCTCCATTAGGAACTCTACAATGAAGCCTAGAGCCGAGGCAGATGCTGTGAGGCTACGTTGGCTCATGTCAAGGGGCCCTAATCCCTAGCTAGGCCCTTGGGGCATTTCATATCGACCCTTGTTGGGTTCAGGAGGATAAGATTTAGGAATATTTTTCAGAGGGTTTTAGAGCACTACACTCACTACACCCTCAACCTGTAGCCCTGAACCCTACCCCCTGCACAGTGGGGGTCCATGCCGATCGCCGAGAAGCTCGGCATCCCTTCCCCCGGGGAGATCTCCGAGTCAAGACGTCTGCTTTCCAGATGAAGAAGCCCACGGAAAATGCGGCAACACCCTCTCAAAGTCTCATAGCACCCTCCCCTCAAGACAAATAGCAGCTCTCATGCCTGAAACCCAATAGCAGCAAGGTAGCCCATGAAACCAAGAAAGGGTCTCCTTCTTATTCCTGAGCCAGCCACGTCGTTATGATGCTGTAGCCCCATGCCTCTTCTCTGTCAAGGGCTTTTTCCGTAGCAATAGCCTACAAAAAAGAAGTTCCGAGCTCCTTAAAGGATGCCCTAAACCCTAAACCCTCAACCCTGAAACCTAAACCCTAAACCCGAAGCCCTAAACCCTAAACCCTGAACCCTAAGCCCACAATCCACCCTGCACCTTTGCACCCTTTCGCACCTCAGAACTTCCCGGCGCTGCAGTGCAGGCGAGGTGCGGCGATGAGACCGCGCAGGCGGGCAATATAGGGTTTAGGGTGTAGGGTTTGGGGTTTAGGGTTTAGGGTTTAGGGTTTAGGGTTTGGGGTTAATTATCCCAAAAGCCCTGAATCGAGCGGGCTCCCCAAGTGGGGGATCCTTTCTACTTGTTGTTCGGGTTCCTATATGCCATAGCTTCGAGCAGCCCGGAGGACCCTTTTGTTTGAGGTTTAGGGTTTAGGGGTTGAAGGCCTACGGATATCGGCAAGTCGTGGTTCATGGCCGATCGCCGTTGGCGCTTGAGAGTTTAAGGGCTTTAGCCTTCAAAGGGAGCAGAATGGCCATTTATTACCCTCAATCCCCTAGATAATCCTTTCAAAGCCATAACAAGATTCCTGTTATAGGCCCCCCCCAAACCTACGTCCGACACTTCGCAAGGCTCCTTAAGGTTTAGGGTTTAGGGTTTAGGGTTTAGGGTTTAGGGTTTAGGGTTTAGGGTTTAGGGTTTAGGGTTTAGGGTTTAGGGTTTAGGGTTTAGGGTTTCCTTGGAGGTTCACGGGCACTCATCGCCGGGGCAATAAGTGCCCGATGTAGGGGTATCGCATAGGCTACAGGTTCACTTTGCTACTAACCCTACTTCTGAAGGGTGTAGGGCCTGGGGCTTAGAGCCCCTAATCCCTTTACCCTAAACCCTTGGCCCCTAACCCTAAACCCTGAACCCTAAACCCCAAAACCCCTAAAACCTCAAACCCCTGAACCTTAAACCCTAGCCTGCGCAGGTCGTGCTGTCGTTGCAGGAAGCGCAGCTGAGTGGGATAAGGCCAGACAAGGCTGGGCTAAGAGGTTTGGGAGCTTTGGGAGGTTTGGGAGGTTTGGGAGGTTTGGGAGGTTTGGGAGGTTTGGGAGGTTTGGGAGGTTTTGGAGGTTTTGGAGGTTTTGGAGCTTTGGGAGCTTTGGGAGCTTTGGGAGCTTTGGGAGGTTTGGGAGGTTTGGGAGGTTTAGGATCTTGGGTTGAGGGTTTTGGAATTCAGGCCTAGGGTGTTCAGGTCTAGGAGAACCCCCAAGCTGTGTGAGAAGCCGTTGCAGACCCGTTTTAGCTTTCAGCTCTCCTCAGACTACGCGAGGTTTGCGTTGGCTAGTTTGCATGAGGCACCCTGCGCACGTTCTCGCATCGCTGCCGACCGCCTGAGTTGGCCGCAGGCTCTGACAGCGGAAAGGCACCGACGTCCTTTCCTTCTCGCTTAGTTCTTTTGGATCGCGGGCTTTCGCAAGGGCTTGCTTCAACCTCCAAAGCTCCACAGGTCCGCAGGAGGCTATGGCGCCAAGAGAGGTCCTTAACTCCACATCGTTTAGGGTTTAGGGTTTAGGGTTTAGGGTTTAGTAGTTTAGGGTTTAGGGTTTAGGGTTTAGGGTTTCCTAAGCCTGGAGCCCCACACCGTGCCATGGCTGCGCTGACAGTAGGGCTGGTGCAGCTGGCGCAGCCAGCTGTGGAGGGACCCGAGGACAAGGCCAGCGGTTTGGGGTGTCATGGGGGGGGACTTTCTGGGCTTCGAGATTAGGGCGTTTACGGTTCCGGCAGCCCCAAAGCCGTAAAGAAACTTGAACAACCTAACCCCTGAAAGCGCTGAGCTTTCTTCCTAATTCAACCCTAAACCCTAAACCCTTGAGCTTTCTTCCTAATTCAACCCGAAACCCTAGACCCTAGACCCCAGACCCTAAACCCTAAACCCTAAACCCTAAACCCTAAACCCTAAACCCTAAACCCTAAACCCTAAACCCTAAACCCTAAACCCTAAACCTCAAACAGACCCTAAGACCCTAAGACCCTAAGACCCTAAGAGGCAGCGGCAGCGCGCCGCGCGGCGCAGCTCATCCGCGAGGCGCCCGCGGCCGATGCCCGCCGTGGAATTGTCCAGAAGCGTGTTTAGGGTTTAGGGTTTGGGGTTTAGGGTTTAGGGTTTAGGGTTTAGGGTTTAGGGTTTAGGGTTTAGGGTCTAGGGTCCAGGGTCTAGAGTCTAGGGTTTAGGATTTAGGGTTGGTTTAGGGCTTGCTTAAGAGCCCCGTGAAAACTAAAAGATGATAATCCCTATATTGCCCTGATAATGAAGAATGCTTTTGGTTCTTGTGTACTTTTTAAGCAAAGAGTAGGGTTTGAAAGGACTTGAGGGGATCAGGATTTCTGGCTAGGTTTGTGGGCTTCAGGGCTTTCGAGAGAATTCAGGGATTGGGATTTAGAAAATATGGGTTTGGGGTTTAAGGTTTGGGGTTTGGGGGTGGTGTTTAGGGTGTAGGCCAGCTTGGAGCTTGGGGCCACGCGGGTGGTTTTGGGGCTATGTAGGCTTTGGGGGTTCAGGAGTTTGGGGGGTTTGGGTTCAGCTGTAGGGTCTGGGGTGTAGGGGTTTTGGGGTGACACAGGGTCCAGGGTGTTGGAGTCTGCGGTTTAGGTCTTCCTACCGGTTCTTAGCACCCTAAACCCTAAACCCTGAACCCCAAACCCAAAACCCAAAACCCAAAACCGTATACCCTAAACCCTAAACCCCAAACCCTAAGCCCCAAACCCTAAACCCCAAACCCTAAACCCTAAACCCCAAACCCCAAACCCTAAACCCCAAACCCTAAACCGTGGATCTTTCGGACTGAGTGGCGAGAGCCGCGCCCCAAGGATCTCTACGTGCTGCCCGAGTTGGCACCGGTGGGTTGCTTGTCCCCAAATTGTAGGGTTCTTAAGGGATAGGGTTTAGGGTTTAGGGTTTAGGGTTTAAAGTTTAGGGTTTAGGGTTTAGGGTTTAGGGCTTTAGGGTTTAGGGTTTAGGGTTTAG